GAGCCTGTAGACATTCTATTGATGCCGCCGTTCTATGATACCAGCTCCTGGTATCATGATATGATTGGTTAAATCGCTGATTGTTGACATCTTTGAGATCAATATTTGACAGATCTTTGTAAACTGCAGTTGACTGCCCTACACAACTCCTACGGCTCATGACAATTGTGCAGTTGCCATTCTCTTTTTATTTTCGGTCTCTTGACCTTTCATTATTTCACAAGTGATTCTAAAGGATACTTTATGCTCTGTTATGAGGAGGAATTTTAAGTAGAGTGGAGCTGTTTGGCTGTACTGTAGCAAATTCTTTTAGAAGTTGGAACCTGCATGTCGTTTCGCAGAATTTGACACCTCTATCATGTGCTTATAATTTCTTTAGGCTCTTGACAAACATGAAACCATGAACATGTTGCTTACTTGCACCTCTATATTAAAACGTTGAGCCCAGCTGTTTGATTAGGTCAATTTATAGAACTGTTTGCCAGTACAGAAAATGTAGCTGCTTGACAGGTCTAATTATCTCACTGACAGATTTGTTACAGGCTAATCACCAAGGGCGGAAAGGCACATCAAAAACAAAGTCTACAGGCTCCCCCGTCACGCCTGATCGCTTCACTTTTGCAAATTCTTCAGTTCTGCGCTCGCCGAATTGTTTTCCGTCCTCGCCAGGAGCCTGTTCGCAGGCTAGCCTAAGACAGGACCCCCATTCAAAATATGCACTTCAACTAAATTACATTTTCCTGCTATGTATGGGGAGCTACACTTGAGGAAAAGCCACCAAATTTTACACTTTTCTTTTGTCTTGTAAACTCAAGACTGAAGCTACGCCAAAAAATGGATTCCTATTGCAGATGGTATACAAATTGCTATTTCCAGTCCCCCTAACTGCTAAATTAATAGCCAATAATTTATGTATAGATATGTTGTAATCCCCTAAAATATTGTCACTATGATAATCATAACTTTAAGTATATTGTTTTTCCCCAAACTTTCTCAAGCTTTTTGTGTTTTTATTTCGTTGTACTTTTTTGTTACTTTATAATGTACTCTTTACTAGTAGCTGTATTAGTAATAATTAGTGACGAAGATGTAATTTGCTTTGTTTGTTTTACTTTAAAAAGAAAAACACTCACAAGCACAGCAGGGCTGTCATTAAGTTTTGATTCATGCGATCACCTGTAGCCTTGATCTTCACACCCATAATGAATTTGTTACTTTATGGGTGAATTTTATCAGCTACAGCCAAGTTCACCCATAACAACAAGGGGCCATCAAGCATGCTCAGCCGTAGCAGGTGCTACAGGTTACAGCCCTTATTGACAGCCCTACACAGCACAAGTGAACTTACTGCTCTTCCTCCGCAGTCCCACATGTCAACAGTGAGCGACAGCATCTTTTGATCAACATCGGTTCCAAGATCAATAGATTCTGAAAGATTCAAGATTTAGAATTCCCAAATCATGATTGCAACTTGACAATCAACTGCAATTAACTTATGGAAACAAGTAAAGAAGGATAATCAAATAGGCAATGAGTAACTTGCTACATGTACATCTCATGAATACCTAGCTACTGTACATGTACAGTTTGTGTACGTGTAGCTATTCATGCCATAGAAACCTAAGTACTAAGAGTCAAAAGCTTACCCAGCCAGCCTTTTTGCCTTTTTCAAGTTACTTTCTCAGTCAGGTAACCAACTACATGTGCATGTATATAGTCACACTCGCACCCTCCTGAAACTTTTAATTGATACCCCTAAAAACTGCCCTTCAACCTCCCCCTCCTCCAGCCCTATCATCATCACTTTAACTAACAGAAATTGAACCAATTAAAAACAATCCCACCAACCTTTCCCACTCTTAAAAGGTCTCCAAGATGCAACATGAACTCCTTCAGTTGAGGTGTCAGCGTAAGTCTGTGTCATTGTGGGAAGACTCAACATTAAACTTGTCTTCCCGCTTCCTTGATTTCCAAGGAACGTCATTCGACATAGAGACTGTAGATTACACTTTTTCAGAAATTTGCGACAAGATTCAAGCCCATTTACTGCCACCTGTAGTGGCGGACATCTCAACCCTGCACAACCTTCAACTTTAAGTTCTTGAAGTGACGAATGGTCCAATATGCAAAATGGCAAGTGTCGAATTGCACACTGCGACATGTCAACACATGTCAAGTTTTGACGGTTTGTGACCAGAGAATCTAATGATATTTCAGTTAATTTCACACACCAACTAAGGTGTACTCTTTTCAGAGAAGTACACTCTGTTGACAGTGCTACAATCGAATCATCTGAAATATCCTGACAACCACTGAGGTTTAAGGATTGGAGTGTCGTGCATTTTGAGCAAAATCCTTTTACTCCTTCATCAGACAACTTGCAATGGCTAAAACAAGCATCTTCTAAATTTTGACAAATGTCACCCAATCGTTCTATAATCTCATCCGTAACTGCAAGAAGTTCACTGAGATCCAAAGACCTGAGACTTGATGCAACATGATCCAAGAATTGTTTTAAACCACTTGACGTAATATTGTCAAAGCCGGAAAGCACCAAACTTTCAAGCTCCAAATCTGTCCTCTCAAGGAATGACAGAAAAAGGTCATCATTAAGAGACCAGCTCTTGTCGTCATCATTATTACTGCTTTCGATGTCATCTGCAGATTCTGTTGACATAACTGTCACATGTTTTATATTTTGGCAGTTTTTCACAAATGAAGCAATTCCAGCTGGAGACAGTCCCTGACAGAAACCAGTAAAAGAAATACTTGTGAGCTTTGTACAATGTTCTGAGATCTTGATGGCAGATTCATCGTCAAATAATTGACAGTTGTAGACTGACAATGCATCCAAGTCAGGGTTTATGTCTTCCACAAGAGATATAACATCATCTGAAGATAGTGTTTGGCAGTTTTTGAAAACCAGTTCAGTGACAGCTTGATTTTCTTGAAGGCTTTCCTATAGTAAATAACAAAAAAAGATATCTGATCATAATTTAATACTTTCAAAACTTAAAATTTTACATGGAGGCCATTAAGAGTCAAAATATTTCAACAGCAATTTAATGTGTGTCCATCTACCCGAGTTTTGAATCAGGCTGCCTTTTCATCCCTGCAAGCCCCATTTACCCCGGAATAGGAATAGGCTACAGAAAGCTAGAGGTACCTTTCAAAACCTAACAAGGCTATGGAACGCAAGAGGAATCAGAAAGAAGACCAAGGTTAAACTGTAAGACACTAGTTAGAACAGTACTCCTCTATGGGTGTGAAACATGGAAGATGATCAAGGGCGAAGAAAAGAAATAAGATCCATTCCATTTGAGATGTTTGAGAAGGATTCTAAGGATCAGATAGCCTGCACGAGTGAGTTATGAGAGAATCATTGAAATGACGCATATCAATAGAATCAGAGATGAGATAAAAAGACGGCATTGAACTTGGATTGGACATATACTGCGTGGAGAAAGATTTAGTGACTGCATGGTGACATTAGGGTGGAGTCCAGAAGGTACATGTAGAAGAGCAGTAGGTCTAGGAAGACCTAGAAAGACCTGGAGGAGGACAGTAGAGGAAGAGAGGAAACAGGCAGGGTTGAATGACTGGGACACCGTGAGAGCAGTAGCAAGGGATAGGGCACAGTGCAAACAGAATGTTGCGGCCTTATGCGCCTACTGACATAAAGACCAATGATGTGATGGTGATGGTGATAGTGATGGTAATGGTGACATTTTAAACTGACCAGGTCTTTGGGGACTAGGTCACAGTATTTTAGATATAAACAATATTTGTCCACTGGGTTGTAAACTTCAAATTGGTTGCGCAGTAGTCTTTCATTGGCAAAATCTCAGCCATACATCAAAGAAGAATGACTCGTGTTGCCCCTATAAAATTATTATTGAACTGGCCAGAGAAAGAAATATGCATTACACTGTTGTGTATCTAGAGCTACAGCATTAAGTCGCATGTAAGCCACCAGGCCGGAGCTTATCCCAGTTTCTGTAGCATGAAGCAACAAGGAGTATTTCTACTCCCCCCTGGATGGGATGCTAGTCCATCAACATTAAATTCGCCAGTACCCATTTTTACTATCCAACTGCAGCGAATACCGTCCAAATAAAAGTACAAATATACAGCGATATTGTACAGTAGAACAACTCTTTGCCTTAAAGGTTGGCGTGCACATGCAAAACTGTCAGACTCTCCCTCTTTCTTTGATAAATTTATTGACTACAGTAGTTGGAGGGTAAATCTCTTGTTAGATGTCTTTAGTGTGTAGTATCGCTGTATATTTTTACTCGTTGTTTACATTTTGACTCGTCCTACGGGCTTGCCAAAATATGGCACAACTCGTAAAAATGTACAGCGACACTTCACACCAAAACATCTAATAAGATATATATACACCTGGGTGGAGAGAGGCAATGCGAGAGTAACGTATCTTGCCTGAGAACATAATACAATGTCTGGTCCAGGCTTGATACCCAGACAGCTTGATCCAGAGTCAAGCACACCATGAGGCCAACCATGCCTCTCTCTACAGCATGCAAAACAAAAATCATGTCTTATGGCTTGGGGCTAATGGATTTTGTAACCTGGCTGACAGGTAAGTGAAATTTAAGAAGTCAAATCAATGAAGTACAGCAGGAGATGAAATAGTTGTTAGTAACCTTAAAGGAGCTCAGTCACGATATTTTGAACTATATTTCTGCCACATACAAAAATAACTGGAAACCTAAAAATAGTAGTAAACTAAGATAGAAAAACACCAAAAAGGTAATAATATACCATAAAGGAACAAGGATGGCTAAAAAATGGAGAGGATTAACACAGATTACAAATAATATACTCAAGATATGCAAACTGTATGTAGCTCATTTACCAGAAGTAAATTCATTTAATCATTTTCATGAAAATATTTTTTTGTAGCTAGTTAAAGTTTCTTTTAGGCTAATACATCATAGAAAATTAGTTTTCTTGTCACTCTACTCTAGAACCCATTTTATTCAGCAAATGTTTGTGTAATACTGAAATGACTTAACAGAAATGACAGGTGCTCTTGCGGATAATTACATGGAAGGAAGTATCGAGAAACTATAACGCAATAACTTTGTAAAGATGTCTGGTTGTGAATTCATCAATTTGGCGAACAATCTATCACTCAATCATCGCTTACTGTTAGTACTTGTCAAATTACATCAATATTTTCCCTCAGTTTTAGTTATTTTTGCACACCAAGAATATAATTTTCCTGAACTAATATAACTTTACAGCGACTGGTGTGTTCAGTGGCAGTTTCAAAGAAAAAAAAAAAACATTAATGAATTAATGACAACACAAAAGTTAACTTGGAATAAATTAGATCTATCCGCCATCGATATTGCTCCTTCGTTTTACCGATTTGTTCAGCAAATGGACTGAGCACAGACAATGAAGCATACTGACAAACAAATCAAGTATACACTGCTATATATGCAGAGATTTTGTGTCGAGTGTTCGATCAATTTCTTCAGGGATTTTCTTTCTGAAAACCTTTGATTGATCACAAGGGCAAACATGCTATTCCAAATTATGAGGGGCGACATATTAATTAATTGAACCTGAATTTCTCTCCGTGCTTTCCACTTAAATATTCAAATACATGCAGTTGCAAACTGTCAAATTCTTTGAGTAAACATTGAATGAAAATTCGACGAGCGAATTCGAATGATTTACCGGTTGCTAAAAAAAATAAGGTTTCAAGTAAGTTAAAAGTTTCGAATTTCCAGCTGCCCGGCCGATCGAAGACTAACGTGTAATTAAGGGCATTCTTGAAACACATATGCTTTGAAGTAACAAATCGAATAAGAGATTTTGAAAACGGGAAAATAATCCCAGTGGATTGCAAATGTTTACTATGGTAATAGAGTGACAAGCCGTAGGGGACAATGGTAACGTGCCAAATAAACAGCAGGCAGGTACGCGCGCATACAGCGTATGGACGATGAATAAGGTTTAGCTGAAATGTTGTCAATAAAATAAACCTTCTGAACGAAATTCTTTTACACGACAACATCGACAAACTGACAACTTACAATCAAGCTTGCCTTTCGCATAAAATATTTAACAAAAGTAAACTCGACGAACATCAAAAGCTTCAGAAGCCAAATGCGTTCACTTTGTAGTTTTCAAGTCACTGCACAGAAAAAATTGTAAACGTTACAGATCATTTGCGATGACCTTTTGCTAGCGACAGTTTCGTAAACGACGATACAAGTTTCATTTGATAACATAAATGCTACTGAATGACGGAAAGGTCAAACTCTCTAAACGATTATTGTATAAATATCGCGAAATAAACTTTCGTCAACGGCACGTTATTAGATTCGGTTACCACAACAACTCCACTCTGATGATGCCTAGTTTTGGCGCTTAAAAAGCAAACGATAAACGGCCTCTCTATTCAAGGTGAACCCGAAATGATGCTAGTAAAATCTTCAAAATATTTTTATAAATTATGATTTTCAATCGGTAGTAAAAACTTATAACCGACCTAATGAAGTTTTGGAACAAAATTTGGAGAAAAGGGTTCAAAGTCACTTCTAAACAAACCTTCATATGTTCCCGGGTTGCATCTCGCTGGAATACAATTTCCTTGGACACCATGATAGCGTCAAAAACTCCACAAAAATCTTTTCAAAATCCCGAGATGTTTCTTAAGGACTGCTCGCGGCAACATTTTGTGAAGTAGTAAACTTAGGAAGCTCCGCGAGGTTTCCATAGAAGTGAAAAGAGTACAGCTGGTTTCAGAACCACAGAACCATGCGCAATAGAACTCTCGACAAAAAAAACAGTGGGGGAGGGTGTAAGGAAATTGACAAACTAATATTTGACTGAAAACCGCAACATTATATTATTCACAAAAAAAATTCGGACGCTAAAATTTCGGACGTTTGATTTTTGGACACTTTTGATCTCATTTCAGACAAATTTCGGACAAAAATTTGGGACACTTCAATGACTTTAATTTGCTGAAAATTTACGTAAATTTACGCCTACAAAACACAAACAAGACCAAGAGAAAATTTTCTCTTGACAAGACTGAACAACATCGTGACTGAGTGATATCGATAGTTTTACTGCACCCTCAAGGTTTTACAGATAGTCCCACGGGAAAATAAGGCCCCGTTCACACTACGCTGGAGGAATTTGAAAACAGAACTTTACTCTGCAAACGCCTCAAAAGTTCTCCGTCCACACTACGTCGGAGAAGTTTGAAAACGCAACAATCACCGGTCATTTTGTATTTGTGTTTGAGGAAAACTGGGGCAGGGGAATACCATAACTATCGTAACGTCATCGCTTTCGAAAAGCTTCGTTTACAAAATGTTTTTCGTCCAACTTAAAACGCGCGTCAAAGCCGGCGTTTTCAAATTCCACCTGTTTGAAAAGCGTTTTCGAAAAGTTCCGTTTTCGTGACGGATTAGTGTGGACGGTAGGCCTAACCATAGAAATAAAGCTGCTTTTTCAAATTTCTCCTGCGTAGAGTGGACGGGGCCCAAGAAATATTAAAAGTTTCGGACTATGTTTTATTATTGGGAACTTTTTTGACCGAAATTTAAATAGTCCAAAATTTTGCAGGCAATGTATGCTATTGGGGCTCCAAAAAAAAAAAAGCAAAAACTGGGAGTCCGTTGGAGAGTTGGGAAATTGATAACCCAAAGGGAAAGCAAGAGGAGCCAGGAGGGAACCGACCGACAAATAGGTGTGTCTGTGTCGGTCAAAAACAGAAACGGCATATTCATTGACGGAATTCTTTGTCAAACTTTCCATCTGCTATCCGAAGATTTTGATTCGGCTTATCCTAGGGTAAGAACGAACAACAATAACACTTATTAAGGTGATTGTGATGTTGCCCCGCTATAACTATTAATTTAGCGCGAAATGCTGGGTAAAAACGGGAATTAGCTGGGAACCTTGAAGCGCAAAAGGAAACTATTACTGACAGGATACGTTGAGGCAAACAGTAAAGAGAGGCTGTGGATTAAAAGAGATGCTAGAGAGTAAGGAAGTTAACTAATAAGAGTTCAGGGAGAGAAAGATCTCACGCGACTCAGACACCTTAATCGAAAATCGGAGTCGTAAGCGGAGTCTCGACGGAATCGAAGTTGCAAGAATCAGAACGTTTCCAGCGGGTTCTTAATTCCGATTCCACCACGACTCCGTTCGTTGTTTATGATCCAGTACAAACTTGCACTGTCGGAGTCGGAAGCAGAAGCGGAAGAACCAACCAATGACGATACCGACCTTTATTATATGGGCATCGCTTTGGCTTGTGGCCGATATAAAGCGCGCTCTGATTGGCTAACAGCGAGATCTGAACGGTCATTATGTAGCCTTATTATATTGCTGGCTCCGCGAGCGGGCAAGATGAATCAAACCAGGGCGGAAAAAGCATATAAGCGCCCTGATCAAACTCTGCGCTGTGATTGGCTACCCGAGCGGGCAAGATGGAGCTATCTTGCCCGCTCGGGACTACCCGCCGTGTCCCGCAAGAAAAATTTTCCCGAAAG